GAAATTTAGAAAGCTTAGAAACTTGACCCGATTGAAAACAAGAAATGGTGGACCTTCAAAATGACTTCAGGTTTTGTCACTGCGCAGAATATAGTCAAACACTGCTGCAGTTAAATATTTTACCCCTTGTTCTCCCCGCGTGATCTACAATAATAATCTGCTTTGTGTTGATATTTACTGCTGTGTTGCTGACAATTACCTGAAAGAGAAGTTGGGGTGCTTCACTGGGCTAGAAAAAGTTTAGCAAATCAGAAAGCAGGTCTAATTAAGCAAGTTTATTCTATATCTATAAAAGGCTAAGTTGACTTGCGCATGCGCACATATAAAGCTCTCACTGGTGCCAATATCACGCGTGTTTCTCTTTGTCATTGTCAATTGTGAATTTGGCTGACACTTCTTATAGAGAAAGGGTGAATAGTGATATTAAAATATTTCTTCTAATTAATTTCCTTTCAATGTGCACGAATTCATGCACCAGGCCATTAGTATTAATATAATCTTAAAAGTTAAAAAGGTCCCCAAAAATCAAAATAGGATTTGTGTTTTTTACAAATACCTAGATTTTTCTGTCACAAATATTTAATAAGACATTATCCACCATAGTGGATAATTCAGCGTTTGGAAGGTTCTCATTGGTACTTTGTCTGGGTTAATTACAGTTTCTGAGTACCTGAAAAGAGTATGCCAAGTGAACTGTGGAAGAAGACAAAGTAGTCTCTTCAAATATCTTTTTTTTTTTTTTTCCAAATATATTTTATTGATTTTCTACAGAGAAGAAGGGAGAGGGATAGAAAGTCAGAAACATCGATGAGAGAGATCGATCAGCTGCCTCCTGCACTCCCCCCAGTGGGGACGTGCCCGCAACCACGGTACATGCCCTTGACCGGAATCGAACCCGGGACCCTTGAGTCCGCAGGCCGACGCTCTATCCACTGAGCCAAACCAGTTCGGCTCTTCAAATATCTTTATACTTAAATATTAGTATTTAAAGACCTCTAAATATCTCTTTAAAAATGCAAATAACATTGTTGGAAAGGGTGGACAGAATGTATAAAAAGATTAATTAAAGCCCTGGTTGGTGTGGCTCAGTTGGTTGAGCATTCTCCCATGTACCAGAAGGTCACTGGTTCGATTCCTGGTCAGGGCACATACCCAGGTTTCCGGCTCATAATTGATGCCACCCTCTCACATCAATGTTTTTCTCTTTCTCTAAAGTCAGTAATAAAAAATACTAAATTTTTTTTAAAGATTAATTAAAAATGTAAATAAGCCTTGGCGGTTTCTCAGTGGTTAGAGTGTTGATCCGAGGACTAAAGGGTCTCGGGTTCAATTCCTGGTCAAGGGCATGTACTTCGGTTGCAGGTTTGATCCCTGGCCCCACTCGGGGCTTGGTCTTGAGGAGGAGCAACCAGTTAAAATCACTCTCTTTCTCCCACCCCCACTCCCTTCTACTCTCTCTCTAAAGATCAATGACAAAAAATATCCTCAGATGAGGATTAAAAAAGAAAAAAAGGCCTTAGCCAGTTTGGCTAAGTGGATAGAGCGTCTGCCTGTGGACTGAAGGGTCCCAGGTTCAATTCCAGCCAAGGGCACATGCCTGGGTTGTGGGCTTGATCCCCAGTGGGGGGCGTGCAGGAGGCAGCTGATCAATGATTCTCTCTCATCATTAATGTTTCTATCTCTCTCTCTCCCTCTCCCTTCCTCTCTGAAATCAATAAAGAAATATATTTTTTTTAAAAAGGTAAATAATTATTCAAGAAGAAAACACAGAAGTCACAAAACACTACTTGCCTTACTAAATGAATCCTAAAAATGATAATTAGTCTATGAGAGTTTAAAAGATCCAAGTAGTAGTAACTTCAGATTTAAGAGATAGGGAAGATTGCCCTGGCCGGTGTGGCTCAGTTGGTTGGATCATCGTCTTGGGCACTGAAAGGTTACCAGTTCAATTCCCGGTCAGGGCACATGCCCAGGTTTCGGGCTCAATCCTGGCAGGGGGCTTGCAGCAGGCCACTGATATCTTGCTCTTACATCAATGTCTCTCTCTCCCTCTCCCTTCCTCTCTCTCTAAAAAACAATAAGAAACACATTCTTTTAAAAAAGAAACAGAAAAAGAAAAGATAGGTTTAAGTTGGAAGAGAAGAAATGAAAATAAAGGCAAGTTTATCTTGGACTCTGCTGAAACTAGCTTAAGGTAGCCTCAAAAAGAAGGTTCCCAAGTGTGTGTTCATTGCCGCCACTCAAGAAACTGAGAAATATTCTTATGAAGGTTAAGACTAAATACCATCACCTTTATTCCTCTCCAGAATACCTTCTATTAAACAGCTGTTGTAATAAACTCATTTACAGAAAGCAAAGTCTCATACCAGAGGTAGGTAGGTATATAGTTATTTAATTCAAACACAACCCGGTATTTAGAGCAGCCTTTTTCAGCTGTAGAACACAAGCTGTCCCACTTAGTTGGGCTTTAGTTGTAACTTCTCAAATTCAGGTACAAACTAGTCTCTACCTAAACTGTGAACTGTGGTTTGATTCTTCCCTGGATTGCTCCAAGTTCTCTCTCCCGATAAATTTCCTTTCCTAGGTCCTGTCTGTCTATCTAAACCAACCCTCTTTGGCCAAAGTGGCCAGATTTTAGGTCTTTCCTAAGTGAGGATTTGCTTAGCTAATTTATTTTCCCTAATGCTCTTTCTAACAATTCTTTCTTCCTGACCCTTCAATGCTTTCCTTTCTTTTGTAAACATTTAATCTATCCAGTCACCAGTCACATGTTAACTGGAACATTAGCATTTCTAAAACCCACTGTAGCTTTTTAACTAGCAAGCGTTCAACCAATTACAAATGAGGGTATTTCTTCACAATCCCACCCAAAGAAATTAATTTATTATGCAGCTTTATTTTGAGATAATCTTGTCTAAATTTTCTTGTATTATATGGACCATATGGAACAGAGAGCCAGCAAAACAATCATTACCATAGACAGTGAGTCAGTAATTGTCACTTGCTAGATGTTGATAAGGAAAGAAGCCTCTCATTCTCAATCCACCATAAAATGATTTTAATTCACTAAAAAAGGCGAAAGATTAAAAATAGGTTTTGCTGGTGGGAGAACTGAGGGTATCTAAAGGGAGTGAGTTAGAAGCAAACGCTAAATAAGGATGGCTCAGGCATGAAGGGTCATCTCCAATTTCGGACACCATGCTTTGTCCACCACGTATATCAACCCTTTCCCCCAAATCCACAACACCCAGTACAAGATTTAAAGGATACTGTCCCAATTCTGTTCATATCATACTTTGTCATTGCATGGTTTTGTCTCAAAATGATTACAAACGCAAAAGCAGAGATAATAATATATATCACTGTACCTCTTAGGGCTGTGCTCAGTCGGTAGAAAACATTGCTCAGGGTATTAAAACAACTCCTGATTCAAATCCTACCACTCACTGCACAATGGTTAGGAGACACTGGAAAAAGCTATACATTTATATTCGCCTGCAAATTACTAAACGGTTGAACATGTTGAGATCTGTTTCACAAAGCGATTCTTACAAAACTACAAAAATACTCACGAGGTATCTATGCCAAAGGTGTCTGCTGTGAACCACTTGGTACATATGCCACACTGCAGCTCTACTTCTCCCAGCTGCCGGCCATTCTCTTCGTCCACGGAGCCCGCTTGAGCATCCATCGCCTCAGAAGTATCCCCAGCACCTTCCTGTGTCCGGAGCGCAATTAGGGAATCAAGTTAGCTGACCTATTGCATATATTTTTTTGACCTATTGTATTTTTGACTCACTTAAAAACTAAACCAAAAAAACAAACAAACAAAAACACACAAAAAACAAACAAAAAAAACCTTATTTTGCCATGCAAACATTCATAGACTTACTAGTGTATCTTTTCCATTAGAGGATTCTGTCTCCAAACCACCGCTTACATCAACAGAGTTCGCATCCCTGTAAGACAATGAAAGCACTCCGGTAAAACTTTTCAAGAGAAACAAACCTCAAAACGCCGAGTACCCCAGAGGTAATGATCAAAGTACCGGTGAACTGCACCCTCCGCTTTTTCTCTAAGCCCGTTCTCAGGCTGGATGCCCTGGGTTAGGAGAATGGGGCTCCGACAGACGCAGGCCCGTGGGCACAGGGAAGCCTAATAATCAGCCCCACAGACCAGCCCGGACACATGGGGTGGAATCAGCTCAGCCCGGTCCACATGGGGTGGGCCCGGTCCCGGGGAGGTTCGCAGACGTGCAGCTCCCCCACTCCGTTTCAGCGGAGCCGCCACTTCGCCCAGCCTGGCAAGTCAAAGTGGCTTCTTCTCTGGGGTAGTTGAGGGGTTCCTGCTAGAAGACTGCGTTACCGGCCGGGGTGCAAGGACCAGAGACCGGACCAGAAACTAGGCTCTCACAGACCTTAAAAGGTGCGGGAAGGGGCGTAGCCCGAGATCCAGTTCAGAGGGGCCGGCCCAGCGGCGGGTGGGACTACGGTGCCGAAGGGGGCAGGGCGAGCCGTTGGCGGCAGGGCCCAGGTTCGGAAGGGGCGGGCGGGAGGACTCCCGGGAGCCGCGGGATTCCAGGGGGGGACGGGCCTCCTGGCCTCCCTCCCGCGTCCTCCAGTGACTGCTGGACGTCTCACCCGCTTTCGGCCTCTCCGGAGCCGGGCTCCGCGGCTGGAGCAGCAGAGGTTCCCTCTCCGGCTGGAGCGGCTGCGACCGCTACCGCCGGCTTCGTCTCCCCTTCCTCCGTCGCTGTTGCATTTGCGGCCGCTGCTGGGCCAGGTCCTGCACCCACTCCGGGTCCGGGTCCAGTTCCCGCCGCCGCCATCACAGCCGCCTCCTAGACTTCTCGCGAGAATACGCGATCCGTCTCGCGCGAGCTGCTGACGGCCCCTGTAATCTTCAAATAGTAAAGGCCCCCGGTGGGTCCCCTGGCTGCCTGAGTCAGGCGCGCTCCCGGCCCACTTTAAGGTCCCGGGACCGACAGCAGCGGGCGGGGCCTCGGGGCTTGGCGAGCCACCCGCAAAGCTAGGTGAAGGCTAAGGAGGCTGACTGATGAGTGGGATTCCTCCAGCACCTACTCCATTCCGGGGGCGGATGCTGCGCACATTCGTGGCTAAAACAAGAAATAACCGCGCAGGTGAGATGCCTTGAGAGCACTGGCTGCCTGCAGACTGGGACGCTGTGGTGTGCGTTGCAAACGTTTCTCACCTTTAAATGTGGGAAATGTCTTCCAGAAGACGAGCACTGGCTGCTCCGTCCTGGAAGGAGTTTGTTTACTGCCCTAACAATCTGCCGCTGTGCGCACGTGCCCTAACAATCTGCCGCTCGGCGGCCTCTAGACACGGGGGCCTAGCCCTAGACCAGCGGTTCTCAACCTGTGGGTCGCGACCCCTTTGGCGGTCGAACGACCCTTTCACAGGGCTCGCCTAAGACCATCCTGCATATCAGATATTTACATTGCGATTCATAACAGTAGCAACATGACAGTTATGAAGTAGTAGTGAAAATAATTTTATGGTTGGGTCACAACATGAGGAACTGTACTTAAAGGGCCAGAAGGTTGAGAACCACTGCCCTAGACAGTCTGACCCGAGAGCCTCAGCTAGGAGGCGAGGGCCAGGGAGGGGTGTGAAGGGAGCATCCAGGCGGGAGAGGCGAGGCGCGCTGTGTGTTCTAGAAGCTGCAAGCCGCGCACTAGTGTAAGGGGAGGAAAATGAAGCTGGGAAGTTAGGGAGCTAGCTGCTGGGAGGCTGAAGAGTTTGGAGAAGCTTGGTCCTTAGAGAAAGGGACCGGTATAGTCTCAAGGTAAGAACGAGGAATCAGCTACAGCGTTGGTAGGTGGAGTGGTTGGAGTGGAATCATTCGGAGCCAAGGTCTGCAAACCGAACAATACAAACCCTATAAGTAGTCAGACCAGGACAGTTTTCAGGAAATCAGCGTTTACAACCTAATTCCTAAAAAAATTGCCCAAGGATAAGCCTTTGTCCCACTTTACAAAACAAAGGCCTACTTCTCTCCAATCCTGCATCTAATCTTACTGTGATGTATTGTCGCAGGGTGTACAGACCTCTGGGACGCCAGGCACACAAACAAAAATTTGTGGATATTTGATTTCTCAGTGAGTTTTTGACAAAATTGAAGGAGGACCTAACTGAATTACTTATCAGTTGTAGATTTTTTTTTTTTTTAAACGTTGGGCCCTGGCGGGGTAGCTCAGTTAGTTAGAGCTTCGTCCTGATAAGACAGTTGCAGGTCAGGGCACATACAAGAGTCAGCTAATGAGTGCATAGATAGGTGTCGTAGGCAGTTAGACCGACGTGAGCAGAGCAAGGATGATGGGCCAGGTATAGAAGGTCACCAGGCTGAAAAGCCCTGGGTGCCAAAGGACAAATGTAGGGTGGGACCTTGCCCCCAGGGTGACCTTCCCTCCCCTAGCATATCTCTGGTCATGCTGTTTGGACCCCCTGACCTTCTTTAGAGATAGAGGCCTCGGTTGTATTTCAGATCCAGGCCCAGGAAAGCAGCAAAGCCAGAGAAGCAACGCCCCTGTTGACCTCAGGACCAACCGCATTGGATAATGACCCACTGGAGCCTGTTAGGTCCCCGAAGGAGGAATGCAGGAGGCCAGAAAGGTGAGGGATTACGAATTTATTTGATCGTCTACACCAGGTGGCTGAGCCCCAGATGCCTCCAGCATCCAGTGATGGGAGTCAGTGGTTTTTTAAAGGACTTTTGGCGGGCTTTTTCTGAGCGGAGAATTCTCTGTGCAGGTCCAGAGGGGAGAGATAATGGAATGTGGTCTCAGCAAGTAAAGTGGCTCTCAGCAAAAGGGAATGTTCATAGTGAAATGGCCTGCAAAGTCAGTTCTTGGGGGAGGGGTATCGATTCAATTGCTTGATCAAACCTAGCAGAGCCAACCAATCAATCAGTGGAGACCTAGACCATGAAAGGACCCACCTGGAAAGCTACTGAATATTCTATTGAGCTCTTCCCCTGGGCCCTCCCCTAAAATCTCCACCCTAAAACCCTTAGGATGGGGGACCCAGGCCACTCTCCCTCCCCAGAGCACTCCAGCAGCACCTTTCCCTCCCCCCTCCTCCTTCCCATCCCCCCCAAGCACATAACTATTAGCTTCCTCACTCCCAAGCTCCACGCACCTCCCTTTACCTCTATAATGTACTTCCTAAGCCCATTTCTTCTACCTCTGTGATTTTCCAAATAAATGTTCTCTTACAGTTTGAGTCTATGAATTCTTTCCTAGCCAGACACAAGTACAGAGGTTGCTGAACCCAGGTCCAGTATGACCCCACTCGTCTAGCAAGCACTCGTCTAGTTCCTGCCACCCACGACAGATTGTACAACAGATTAATGTTCCTCCCTCTCTCTCTCTGTCTAAAATAAAGCAATAAAATAGATTGTTGTTGCTAAATGCTAAAAGTAGCAAGTGAAATGTTAGAAAAGAACAGGATACTTACACAGATTCCAAGGATATCCCCCCAGATACTTGTTGTAGTTTTAATGTGGCCACAGAATCGTTGATACACCTTCCTCCAGGAGGTGAAGCTTGACTCCTTCCTCCCATTGAGTGTGTGGGCTGGATTTAGTGACTGGCTTCTCAACAACGATATGTAGAAAAGGAAAATAGTAATTTTTACAGGAGAGAAATGCAGACACCACCTTAACCAAGTGGTCGAGGTTAACACCATCAGTAATAAGTAATAAGTCCTTTTGATATCATTTACCCCTTCATATGATGCAATGAGAAAGTCACTTCATCTATGTGGAATTTACCCCCTAAATTCATTCCTCCAGTCTAATCAAAAGAAAACATCTGCCAAATCCAAATGGAGAGATATTCCAGAAAGTACTTGAGCCGTGTGGACCAAAAAAGGGGCCACATAGCCCAGCCTGTGTTGCTCAGTGGTTGAGCGTCAACCCATGTACCAGGAGGTCCCGGGTCGATTCCCAGCACATGCCCCAGTTTCTAGCTCCATCCCCATTAGTATGTGTTTCTATCTCTCTTTTCCTCTCACTCTAAAACCAATTTTTAAAAAATTTAAAAAAGGGGAGGGGGGAGCCACATATTAAACCTGACAAGCTCAGGGGAGGCCTGCATGTCAGGGCTTACAAACTCAGAGACCTAAAGTAACCACATAGGATGGTCTAAATTAAAACTTCCTAACTAAAAGTGAGTCATGGAGGGTAGTCATGTCCTTGGCCAGTATCTTCCATGACAAGGGTCAATCTTTACCTTAACTGAGCTTGTCTGTTGTCTTTTTGCATCTATGAGAAAGACACTTTACCTTAACTGAGTCTGTCTATTGCCTATCCTATATATCCTATATAATAAAAGCCTAATATGCTAAGTGTCCGACCATTTGACCAGTCGCTATGATGCGCACTGACCACCAGGGGGTAGACGCTTGGACTGGTAGTTTAGCTTGCTGCTGGGGTCTGGCCAATCAGGACTGGGCGAGATGGGCCAGACATGCCCTGGAGCCCTCTGGGGTGCACCAGTGGGGTGCCTCAGCCTGTCCTGTGCCCTCTCGCAATCCGGGACCCTTTGGGGGATGTCGGACAGCCGATTTCGGCCCGATCCCTGCAGGCCAGGCTGAGGGACCCCACCTGCATGAATCTGTGCATCGGGCCTCTAGTATATTATAACTGGGTGCCCCCCCAAAAAAAATGTATACACACTTTAACAGCTGAGAGCTCAATTTTGAAAATGAAATGTATTTTAATGAACACTACTTTTATAATTATTAAAAGAGTGTGTATACATTTTTGAGGGGGAAATCTATTGATCTCCTGAGACTGGAGGAAAGCAGGAGGAAGGAATAAGGATGACATTTATAATTATTAAGGGGAAACAGGAGACCAAGGGAAAACATTGGTGGCCGGCAGCGAAGGCCTGGCTGAACTCTGAGTCGGCACATCTATTGTGGCTCCAATTTATACCTTCCATGCTTCCTTCCAGCAGCACTAAGCTGCATAAGTATAATAGCAGGGATGAATGGGAACATTCATCTTAGTTTTCAGTTTTGCCAGGCAGATAAAATAAGGACCAGGATCAAAGGCAACCAAAGCTGATAGTGAGAGAGAGTTCAGATGATTAACCATGGCATGTGAGAGAGCAGGGGCACAGGAAAAACTGGAGAATTCAGTGTCCAGAAGTCCCAATGAGAAGGCAGGAACTGGGATGGAGAGAGGTTGAGGTAAGAGAAGAGAATATTTGAGTTTCAAGATTTTATTCCCTAACCAATCATTGGTCATTTCTTTTTTTTTTTTTTTTTTTTAATATATTTTATTGATTTTCTACAGAGAGAAAGGGAGAGAGATAGAGAGCTAGAAACATCGATGAGAGAGAAACATCGATCAGCTGCCTCCTGCACACCCCCCACCGGGAATGTGCCCACAACCCAGGCACATGCCCTTGACCGGAATCGAACCCGGGACCTTTCAGTCCGCAGGCCGACGCTCTATCCACTGAGCCAAACCGGTTTCGGCGAGTTTCAAGATTTTAGTAGAGGTGAATCCACGTGCCCTGTCCTTGGGCCCCCTTCCACCTCAAGTTCATCTGCTCCCGGATCGCAGAGATGTCATGGGTGACTGTGAATCAGCTCCTGCTCCATCCCTACGCTCAGCTGCCCTCCGATCTGCCTCTGCCTGACCCTGACCTTTAAAACACCCCCCCTGATCGCCCTTAGCCAGCTGGAAGCAGTCAGAACGAGTAGTCGCTGTCCCTTATCACCAAAAGGCCGGGATGTTAGGTCGGAGAGAGCCCAGGATCGGATACATGCAGACATGTGATGAGACAATGGACTTCCCCTGGAATTTCTCACAGATCAAGGTGCCAGACACAGATACCGGCTTCTTCTCCCTTAATCCACATACCCCCACACAGATACTGACTTCTTTCTGAATACCCCCGCCCATCCCCTGCAGCAGAGAATTCCTCAGCTCATGTCCCCGCCCCTCACCCAACCGCAGTATAAAAAAAGCGCCCCCCTCCCTGTTGGCGTGAATCCACGTGCCCTATCCTTGGGGTACGTGGGTGGGTCTCCCGGGAACGCAGAAAGAAACCTTTTCCTTTCCTTTCTTTTCTGAAAAAAAAAAAAAAAAAAAAGATTTTAGTAGAATCCCCTTCCTCTTTCCCATAGCCAACTTGTGGGCAGAAGTGGGCCAGGCTAAGGTAGAACCAGACCTCATTTCTGGGATGGAAAAGCCAGGTATCCATCCACCCAACGAGGTGCCTTCTGAAGATAAGTTAATTAAAACCACTAACAGGGCACTGGGCAGGAAGCTTAGGATGGACAGTCAGGAGAAACATTCTTAGAAGCTCTCTGTCCCCAGCAGAGGACTCAGCTTGCCAGACAGCTGACTGGATACAGCTGACAGCTGCAAGCTGAATTATTTGCCTGGAGGTGGTGAAAATACAGAGCCCATTCTCCTCTCATCCTCAAATACAGCATTCAGATGCTCACAGTTGTTATTCTTGAGTGGTGGGTTTATGAAGACCGCTTCTTACTCTTTCTCTGTATTTTCCAAGTGTTCAACAGTGTGCACGTGTTGCTCAAATGAGAAGTAAATAAAGTCTTGTAAAAAGTGTTCTTTGTCTTCTTCCTCACTTTTTGCTACTATTCTCACTTGTGTTCCTTTAAACAAAAAATTTTTTTAAGAAGAGTTTATTTGAGCCAAACGGACGACATATGCCAGGGAGCAAGATCTCAACTGCTCCCTTGTTCCTTCTCAGTTCTACTGCCTCTCGCTATTTGAGGTTTTATCTCCTCACCAGGATTACCACATCCGAATCTTCGTGTTTTAGGCTTTCCTACTCCAGTCCCCCTGGCCAGTCTTTCAACACCTCTGCTTCACCTCATCTTTCCTTGGGAAGCTCCTTACTGCCTTTCAGTGAGAACTCAGACTCAGCTCAGTGGTCAAGAGTGCCCAGCAAATGACCTCCCAGTCCTGTTGGCATCCCCCATTCTCAGCACACCCCGCCTCCTCAGCTCTCTAGGTGTGGGCCCGCCTCCCTGCTTTTCCCCCTCTGGATTCTGCCTCACTCCTTGTACCCATTTCCATTACATCAAGACCCACGTCAAAGTTACCCCCTCAGGAAACCTTGCTTCGCGCAGTTTTTATGTGAATGTATATGCTTCAGTCGTCCTCAGTTATAACTGAGAACTTTTTTTTTGTGGACCCAGATGGCCATAATCTTATTTGGCTCACTTGTATGAGGATGAATGAGGTCATCATTTCACTCATAACAAATCCTGATGCTTATTCATAATATACTTCTCTGAGAGGTTCAAAAGCAATCAGCTCCCCACTCAACACAGTGCATTTTTGCCTCATTTTCTTTGCTTGTGCTATTCCTTCTAGCTTGAATGCAAATGTTTTAAAGAAAGTTTCAAAACAGTATTATGACTATTGTTTCACCCCAAAGGATTGGATTAATTTGGATGAAGTTAATAAATTTAAAAAGTGATTATTTTGACTGATGAATTTTTCTGGACTCGAGAATGAGAAAGGTGTGTAAAAAATTCCAGCATTGTGTTGTGATCCAACTTTTGTACACTTGTTAGTATACACGAGGAGAAAAAGGTCTGGACTTCTGCTCACTGGACTTTTATCACTGATTATCTCTGAGGGAATGGAGGTAGTTACAGAGACTACCTGTTCTTTCCATAATATACTTCGGGAGTGTTTTATATTTTTCTATGAATTAGATTATAATCAGGAAAAAAGCGAACACATTTTCAAAAGCTTTACACATACCTGGACTAAGCCACAAAATGTAATTTCCCCAGGTCCGGTGTTGAAGTGAACTAATCTACTTCTATCATCTTTTGAGCAAGAAAAAGATGCCCCAGACCTTTAAGGAACTGAGGATTTTCTTTTCATTTAAAAAGAAAATAGGCCGGCCGGTGTTGCTCAGTGGTTGAGCATCAACCTTTGGACCGGGAGGTCCTGGTTCGATTCCTAGTCGGGCCATATGCCTGGGTTTCGGGCTTGCATGCAGGAGGTGGCTGATCAACGATTCTCTCTCATCATTGATGTTTTTATCTCTCTCTCTCCCTCTCCCTTCCTCTCTGAAATCAATAAAAATATTTTTTAAAAAGGAATTAAAAATAAAAGGAAAGTAGAGACATATGCGAGCTGAGTTTTAATTGTTGCTCGATCACTTCTCATTCAAAAAACTTACCCAAGCTGTGTTCATTGTGTCTCTCTGTCCACAGCCGCACTCATTCCTGGTGTGAATAGTTTGCTGTTCCCTCAAAGGTGAATGAAGCTTTCCAGAAAAATCTAGAACTTAAAAACTCAGTTGCAGACCTTCTTCCTCCTCCCTGAGTGTGCTTTAGCGAGATAGCAGCCAGAGCACTACTTTGGAGATGCCCAGGGTCTGGGCTGGGAC